AAAGAACTTACGTTATTATTTTGATTTCACCAATCCTGAGAACTTAATTAAATCGTCCATGACATGAAACGCAAACAGGAAGTGATGTCCCGAACCGCCATGCCTGACCAAATGGAAAAAAAAATAAAGAAAAAGAACTTTGACACAGTATGAATGGATACGAAGCCTACGGCTCAGACTGATATAGCTCAATGGACCTGGCGGTAAAAGCGTTGGATGGCCAAGCCTATTACCTAGAATAGCATAGCCTCAAGGACCTGGCGCTTTGAGGGGTGGATGGCCTAGCCTATGGCATGAAGTCACGTAGGCCTCGTGCGCTGGGGTGACAATCACGACAACTCTCAGGCGCTTCGAATTAAAGCATTTGATGGCTTAGAAAGGCGCAGCCTTGTAGGCCTGGCCTATAACACAAAATGGTCTTGCATCGTAGGCCTGCGCGTTGGGGGTGACAGCCACGACCACTACCACCGCAGCTTTTGACCTCTTCGAATATAAGTATTAGATGGCGTCTTCGTTCAGGTATCTTCGTGGGCAATAGGGGGTTCCGAAAACAACGTCCGGCGGGACAGTATCGAGATTTGCCATCACGGAAGAACGTACATTTGGAGGAGACCATCTGGCGACCGTTGTGAAACTGTAATACCACATTTCAAAGATAAGGAGGCAACTTTCTTCATTCCGCAGAAGACAAAATTCAACCCTTTCCATTCGCGGGAAAGACCCATAACCGAAAGTTCTTAAAGTAGCAATAGATGTGCAACACTCGTAAGAAAACTAGTGTTTACTCCTCACCGGACAATGTGAACCTTGCGCCTCAGAACTTTCCTGTGCGCTAATATTCTGTCGTAGCTACGATGGAGCAGCGGAGGGTTAGAGTATCATGAAAGAGCACGATCCTGGATAAGCGAAAGAACTCAACATCGACCTGAATACATAAACACATACATTACGAGCTTCATGTAAGATGAAAAAGATTTTTTTTTCGCTATTTCGTTTCAGCCACCGATGAATGAAGGTAGGAACTTTCATTTTCTCCCTTCAAATTCATCCATAGACTTTTCGTACCTGAGAAGAAGGAGGACCCTATCTCTTCACCCTCAACTTGTGCTTTTCCTATTGGATTTTTCGGAATGCGTTTTTTTTTATCGCCTGCTTCAACATCCCCTCACAGATGTTGGTCAGAAGGACTGCCACAAGACAAGCATCCCAGCGGAGGTCCTGGGCATGGACGATCGGAAGCTAGCTCCCGTCAACAACACGGCCATCGAGAAGGAGAAGCGGACGGGTGTCCAGTTCGCGGAATGCGTAGTCCTCAACGTTGAAGGAAATCGCCTGGAAATAGATCTGGAGGTCTGCCCGACTGGTGAAGCGTAAAGAAAATTCAACAGCAAGAGCAACTCGTGGAATTGAGCGTCGATGTAAAGTCAGAGTCGATGGAAGAACTGGAGTGCTTTCTCGTCAATCGCATGGCACGGTACTGGACGAGTATTATCTCATTCGATGTACGAAAAGCTTCCTTTTTAAGAAGTCTATTTATGAGGAAGAGAAAAGTAAGAAAAGACACTGTGGGCGGATGCAAATGAGGTCTCTAGGCCGAGAGGAGAGAGCGAAGCAAAAAAAAATACTTTGTATAAAACCTATGAAACCTAAACTGGGACTGTCCGGTACCGACAAAGCCAAGCAGCAAGGAGTATTTGGATCGAATTAAAACCGATCGAAAACTCAACGCACCTGAGCGAGATTTAAAAACGAACGCCAAATCAGTGGCGAAGTCGGTAGTGAAAATAGGAAGAAACGGCTGCATTGTCTCCTTTCGACCTTGACACGTCCCGTCTGGCATAATGAAGGCGTCACTCCCTTTCTCGATGGCGTCACAGACTCTTCTCCCCCGATGAATCCCATCATGCCACATGGTTAATTCATCTCCTCGCTAATGAGGAAGAAACCGGCTCTCCTTCCCTTGACCCCAGAGCCGGGTTATCGTCCAGAGAGAGAGTGCTTTCGGGTCCGTCTCGGCGAGAAGACATCAGATAGGATGGCGTGTTTCCGTATGTTTCTCGCACTTTCGGCCTTTCTGGCCCTTTCTTCGGCCCAGGAGACAGCCAAAGAAAGGTGAGAGATCTTCCGATCGACACGGATTCGTTTTTTTTTCAGAGTTTCTCGAACATGGGAAAATTTGCTCATTCCAAGGGTGTAATACGGTTTTTAATGGGATTAACCGTTAATATATTTTTTCTCCGTCAGCATTTGCTTGAAAATCGGCGTGATAAAACATACTCCTTTTTTGTACCACCTTTTTTGTAATCATTTCCATTTATTAATTTATAATAATAAAAAATATACGCACAATACGTGCGTGACCAAAATTCTGCGCAGCTTCCCTCACTCAAACTTATCAAATCGTCTCCACATTGTATATTTCAGCCGAATATATATTTTTTTATCGAAGCCATTGGGAATATGAATTTAAGAGAAGATCTGAAACACTCTGCTATAGGAATGTGCCATTTTTAAAGCCTTTTGCATCGGTTGTAGTTTTCCAGTGAAGAAATTTCACGTGAAAGTTTGGAAACCTCATGCTCTATACCAAAGGAAAAGAAACTACGAAATGAAATTTCGTAAAATTATTTAAATTAAACATATGCATATGAATTCTCTAAATGAGTTCTGTAGGTATTAATAAGATTTACATGATTTCTCTCAGTAACGNGGCAATTCGGTGCTTCATCCGGACATGGACATTCATGTGGATGGGGTTTCTGAATAAGGAAAATGCTGAAAGGCCATGCAGGGGCAGATGAATACGTAAGCAAAGAAAATGAAAATGTTTCCTTCACTGACACCAAAGTCTCAATTTCAAGACGGAAAATAGTCTTCACAGGGTGACAGGGAACTGGAAATCCTCATATAGACATGTATTTCAACAATGTGAAACCTCAGAAAAATCCTTGTAGGAGTACGTATCGACTTCTTCACCCCAACCATTCATCCACGTAAATACATATTTAAGAAAAGAGTAATGAAATGAGGTGCAGGCAAAAGTAGCTTTGATCCGATAACTGATTATTCCAGAAAAAAGAAACTTTGGCAGCCCTACCTGGGATTTTTCTTTTGAATAGGGATTATGCTCTTCCCAAGGATGACTTACAAGGCGAGGCTATACCCGTTCATTGTCACTCTGGAATTCTTCTAACTCTCCTCTTAGCTCAACTATGAGCCGAGCACTGAGTAAAATCTCAATTTTTACCAAGTGATGATAAAAGTTCGGCCTTCACTTGGGTTCTTTAAATTTCCCACTTCTCGAGACGGAGGTACTCGTATCTATTGCTTAAGAGTCTCTCTTTCCCCATGACAGGGCCTGCATTGGGAAAAAAATCCCGATTTGCTTAACTCCGTACCGTAACCTGGGTCCGCTGTCATGGATAGCCAGCCGAGCCATTTCCTAGCTCCAACTCTCCTCCAGGACATCATAAAGGACGCTAAGGGCGTCTCCCCGGGAACGTTCCTAAGGCGGCTTAGGCTTCCCATTGCGTGCACGGCCACTCATTGCCGGTGTGAGCATGACGCCCCCGCCTGGACTCGATCCCCATCATCTTGGGTTGCGGGTGGCGAAGCTCTCACCACTCGACCACCGACTTAACCCCCCTTACCCCATATCCATATACCTTCTCTAACACTAACGAATCTCGTCCCTCCCCCCTCCTCAGTTTTCGTACTCCCCGAGGCAGTTCGAGAAGCATTGGTTACATGAGGGGGGAGAGACGGATAGTCGAAACGGGTCTCGCTTACACACCGATCGACAGGCGGGCGAGTTCTTTTCGACATCCAGGAGAGGGGGACCGAGGCGAGGCCGCGGTTCCCTCTTCTGGATGTAAAAAAATGAGGGTATCTGACTCTCCCTCGTGTGAGACGTTTATGCCGATGCATAGCCGAAGGGTCGGATACGAGGTGGAATCGGTGGGTTATCCGACGGCTCGTTCCTCACGGTATAATGAATACTAGAACGAGGCTTTGTTGAGCCGAGTAGGATAACCATTGCCTTTCGATTTCCGTCACTTGACAGTCAGGGTGCAGTTCGAATTCCTACTTCTACTCTTGCGAGATGTTTTAGTACGATCAGTGAAATATTTAGCGTCCGTGTTCGTGGATGAATGTGGGACCTGACATCCTATCGCAGGAATATGCTCCTGATACTCGCACGTCTGGCAGCATCGCATCCTCAAAGACTTGGAGTTTTCTCCCTTGCAAAGGCTGAACACAGAGGCGCAGAGTTTTGAAGCCACTCTCTTTCGGGGATTGGGAAGTAAGAAAATGCATTTCCACTCTTATTGATCATCGTAATGCAATTCCAACGCCTTTCTCGGTTGGACGTACAGGTGCGACGTACGTATTTGGAAGCTTGGTATGCGGAAACAACAATAATTGAGATCGATTGGTCCTGCATTTCTCCTCCAGGACCCGTTTGGTTCGATATTATACTTTAGAAAACCTGCAATATTTTTCAACATGAAAATGTTATGGGATCCTAGAGAAACCCAAAGAGAATACGTTATATCGAATTCCTAAGTGGTTTCTGAGGCATATGATTCCCTATTATATTTTTCTTTCCTGAAATCATAGGGAATTCCTTTCGGATTCTTTCAAAGGAGCAAACCTTTTAACCAAAGGTTACACGAAAGTGTAGCCGTAGCGTAGCGTTTTTAGCTTTTATAAGCGCAGGCGCACTCATAAAGCCTCAAATCTGTGAACGTAATAGCTTGTTCCTAAGGCTTATATTAAAAAATGTTTTCCTAGCTCTTATAGTTTAGGCTGTGTAGGGGGAGGGGGTGTGTCATCGATGCCTTCGTTCCGGCATTAGAGAAGAAAAACCCTCACTTGCATTCATTCGGTGCTTCATCCGGACATTAATGGGTTTCTGAATAAGGAAAATGCTGAAAGGCTGTGCAGGGGCAGAGGAGAACGTAGAGCAAAGAAAAAGAAACTGTTTCCTTCACTGACAGATGAAGTAATTTATTATGAGATTTACCAGAAACGGGATAACATTCTAACCGTACAGCCTTCTCCTCAATCTTTCACTGAACTCGGAGACGCGAAATGCGGAAATATCATTTCGGTCCACCCTTGACCCCGCAGGGGATACCTCCTGACGGCGCCGAAGGTTCTCCGCTCCAACTCCACCGAGCTGATCTGCCTCTCCCTCTTCAACTTGGAAGGGCCGGGGAATGCCAAGCTCACTCTGACGGGGGAAGGAGAGGATGCATTCGCGGCCACCCTCGACCATTCATTCACCAAAGGTATTCCCCGCCCCCGCTTTCAACGCGGGAAGCCCAAAGGAGTCGCGTTGGAATGACGGCCTTGAGATGACCTTGAAACCAAACGCGATTGGGTCAGGGACTGTTTAGCAATGTCGAATTTTCCTTGTATTATTCAACGGATTGCATAGCTTTTAATGACAATGGCATGAAACTATATTGCAAAACGGCTCGAGAATTATTCTAGCAAGGTATTCATTCCAATTCAACGCAAAGGGTAAGTTTCATCGCCATAAAGGAAGGTCGCGCGAAAAACTCTATCATTCAATCAAGCAAAAATAAAACATGGTCCGATCGTGTCTAACACTCTCCAAGGACCAGGAGAGCGTGAGCACGAGATGGACATCACTGAAAGACTAACGCAGATGGAATAGGAGCGATAATCAAGGACATGGGAAAACAATCTTGAATCTCCCGGGCCATTGAGTGGGTGGCACAATATGGCCCACTCATATTGAATTTCCATTATTGAAAGTTATTCTATCGTTCTGTTTAGAATTGGAGATGATGGACTAGCCACTTCTCAGTTATTAAATCAATCTAAGTAGTCATATATTTTTATTAGAATACGTAAAAAATGTAGAGTTGGGGATGGAAACAAATACCTATGGGAGCGTGCCGTCGTACAGCATTTTCTGCTCTTTGTTCAGCTCTTTCCTATTGCCGTACATGCAACACCATGCATTCTCATTCTCATGGATTGGCATGGGATCCCGCAGGGAGCAAGGAATGCGTGGACTTTCCCGTGCCTAACGTGCCGGAGCAGAGGGGGAGGTTGCACCTCCAACTCACCCTGGATGGCGTGCCGGACTACGTTGGGAACGAGAGCGAGTTGGTGAACATCAGGGAATACCAGAACCTCCTCTTTGTTCAAACGGACAAGTCTCTTTATCTTCCCGGGCAGGACGTCCGGTTCAGGATCCTCGTGCTCGACGCTGCCCTCAAGCCTCTTGACGACCAGGTTCGAATTCTGAGAGTCAATTTGTGACGATTGGTGCCATGAGATATTGGGTGTTTGCTCAAAGTAATTAGCGGTGGACACCTGGATGGACCCTTTCTTTGAAGGATCATCAATGATTACTCTTACTGAATGTGAAATGGCACATGGCAATATATAACATCATGGTAAATGCCAAGTCTTCCAGATGACTGAAATAATCGGAATGACAGGGCAATTTCAGATTTCATTCTGATTCAAATCGTTTCATCAACCAGAAGCCACCAGCATTGTACATAATGTTGTGTTGGAATGCCCCTATCTTACGCCGGAAATTGTAAGAATGAATAATCCCAAGTGATGAATGCAGGTGAGGGAAGTCTGGGTGGAGGATCCGTCGGGGATCCGAATAGCGCAATGGACCGAACCGTCTTCCACAGCCGGCTTCATCCAGCTTCAATTCCAACTCGCCCAGGAGCCGCCGTTGGTCAGTTTTATTTTCGTGGCACCATGAGGGTTTTGAGAATTCAGATACGTGAGAGTTTGTATAATTTCATTCATTATAAGTTTGTCATGACTTTTTAATTTACTGGAAAGAGCTCCTATGGCCTCACTTATTTCTACGTCCCATTCGTTAGTTCCTGGGTGTTATAGAAAATATATTAAATCATGATTATCTATATTATGTATATTTCATTCGGGTTGGGATATCCCGGTATGTGCAATAGGGGAACTGGAGAATCAAGGTGGACGCGAAGGGGAGGAAACGCGAGGAGGAGAAACAATTCGAGGTTTCCGAATACGTCCTCCCCAAGTACTCAGTGGACATCCAGGCACCGAAAGTCTTTCTTGGAGATGCATCCACCTTGGACCTTAACATCTGCGCAAGGTTTTAACTTTATCTCCCCTCTATTTCTCAGAGGTGTATTTTTCGGGGGGTTGAGGAGTAGTAGGAGAGAGACCGCTCCTGGCAGCCCCTCTGTCAGATATAGAAAATGCATGGCGCCCCCATTGATGGAAATTTCCTTCCCAGAGAACCTTGGCTGTGCAACTCCTCCCCCTCTCCCCTCTCCTCCCTTTTACTCCTCCCCCCGACCTTCTGGTGCCGTCCCTTCCTTGGCTTAGGAGCCTGTTCATGTTCATGGGCAGCTTTTCATAGACGATTCAGTTACTGTGTGATTCTCGGCGTGCTCGTATGTGGCGAAATTCAATCGTTTTTAGTCTGACATTGATGACACATAGGGGTATAATGGTGGGTGTTGGCGAGTATCTGCATCGACGGCCGTCCAAGCCACCATAGATTCGCAATTGGAATTGGAATGGGGCAGTGATACATACATGAGAGACATATAACAATATATTTAAAGAGTAATACGTGGGTAAAGGTGCATATGTATTATATAAAGTATTCCCGAGAATATACCTATACATTGGTAGGTTAATGATAATATTTATGTATTAAGGTTTATACCAATATGCGTGTAAACTTTTTTATCTTTAGAGAATTTCCGGAATTTCTCAAAATGTACTAAATTTTGTCATTTGCATATGAGAAAATATTTGCCTAAGGAAGAGTTAACATGGAAATGATGCAATTTTTAAATTACCAAGTGGATTCTGGAGGCTCAGAAATGTAGGCGACCTTTTTTTTAAATGTTATGGTTAGTCTGTATTAAGCAAAAGGAAGTAATTCCTGAAACTTTTCAATTTTGCACTGGGCGAGTTTTTTAAATTTAAGATTTCAACACGTCCATTTAATTTTACAGAGATAATTTCCACCTTATGTGGATAATGAGTGCCTCGCACCTTTCGATTTCGGCTGTGTACCTCAGGTTCACCCATGGGGGAGCAGTGGAGGGTGAGCTGATCCTCAGGGTCGAACCGAAGATATACGTGTTGGACTACCTCAGAGACAATTACCCCGGGTTCGTGAAGGGGTTCGGCATCGATATGGACAAATACACTGCTGTCTTTCAGCTCCAAGTGAGTGGGTTGAAGCGTCCGAATCGACTAGAGAAACTCCATTGAAGAAATTGCATGCTTAAATATGAAAAGGTTCTTTGTTAACTTTTTCAAGCTGTCACGATTTGGAATGAAAGTAACTTCCAAGAACAAGCAAGGGTGGAAAATTTATTTTTCTGTTGTCCGCGGTTCTCTGATTCTCATACGTTTTTCTCCGAACTGAATTCCATAGAATGTATGAGGTTATTTTAAAGTACAAATATTGCAGCAAAGATAATTACCAATCTTGTGGATATAGTACATCGTAATATATTTCTGCCCGGACATCAATTGTACAAGTCCTTCCTCTGTGTCGCATCCACTAATTGTCGAGCGAATCAGAATTGAACGCTTTACGAGGTCTGACAATAAAATAACGAGACTGTATTTTTTAATAGCTACATTTTTTATTATATTGTAAACTGTGGTGGTCTCCTTCAAAGTAGTTCCTTCTAGCAGCTATACATGAATTCCAGCATTTTCTCCACATGCCCAAGCACTTCTGGAAGTCAATCTCCTGCTACATGCTTAGAACGCCCGTCGTAACCTTCTGAATCTCTTCCACGGTTTCAAAATGTGTTCCCTTGATGTGTTTCTTCACATTAGGGAACAAGGAAAAGTCACACGGAGCGAGTTCCGGTGAATAAGGGCGGGTGTTCAAGTACTGTAATTGATTTTTTACCAAAAACTCCTAAACGGAAAGTGCTGTGTGTGACTGTGCGTTATCGTGGTGTTCCAAGATAACGCCAAATCCAAAATCCACTTATTTGGAAAAATTCCGGCCTCACACGACGAACCCGCTGTCAGACGTTTCAAAACTTCCAGATAAAACTGCTGGTTGATTGTTTCACCAGCAGGAACAAACTCATCATGCACTATCTCTTTGCAGTCAAAGAAACAGAACATCATCGTCTTAACCGGTTAATCCGTTAGTTTTTCTTCGAGTTTGATATTTTTGACGAGTGCCCCTAACTGTACTTTAGGTGAAGTGGTACTGCTCTGCAATCACTGCAAGTATCTGCAATCTCTGCAATCATTGCAAGTTTGTTACTGCATAGACTTAAGACATGCACTGACAGGTTACAGCAATCGCCACTATTCCAATGTTGCCACACGCATTACAGTGTTGTCAGGCTCGTTATTTTATTGTCAGACCTAGTACTTTGCAGTTACTTCAGATCTTCATTTCTATCGATTTCTTCCAAACCGATTGTCATACTTTACATCACTTGAGTAGGTGGAGTCATTGTACTGCAGCATCGAATACGTCGGTCGGTGATCTGAATGTTAGGAAACTTAATAAGTCACGTAAGATGCGCCTTGTCCAGACAAGGATGTCGAATGGGTCTCTGTTCATCATGCCTTATCCTCACCGTTCGATTCCATTCGGTTCTTCATCGGCCGCTTCAACTCCTCCTCGCAGATGAAAGACTGCCACAAGGCAAGCATCCCGGCGGAGGTCCTGGGCATGGACGATCGGGAGCTGGCTCCCTCGTCTGTCAACATCACGGCCACCGTGAAGGAGAAGGGGACGGGTGTCCAGTTCACGGAAACCTTGATCCTCAACGTTGAAAGGAATCCCTTGGATATCGACTTGGAGGTCTCCCCAACGCATTTCAAGCCAGGTTTTGTGTACAATGGCCTGGTGAGTTTTTTAGTTAGCCGAAGTTGAATGAAATTGAGACATTCACGTTTTTTATTTCGTTATTTTGTTCCGGTGAAGCATGTGAACCTGTAAGCACATAATTCGAAGGAAATAATGATTTCCACAACATATCTGTAGTGAAAGTTTCAGTGGCAGTTCAAGCTAGCATCTGGTATGTAGTCTTGAAACTATTGGCATCATTGGCTCCACGCTCGGCTTTTAACAAGTGCACCACGAATGTCCGAAAATCTCGATAAAAGAGTTATCGCATTGATGTGTGTAATTTCTCTTTGAAGAGAAAATTTCGAGTTTTTTTCCTCGCTATTGTGAATGTCTGACATTCCATGTCGACAGGTTAAAGTGAAGGACAGGTCCGGGGCACCAGAAAAGGGTCAAATGATCCAGATCTGCAAGGATCCTTACGGTGAGCGTTTTCTTGAATCCCATCTCAATAGATTAATCCGAATGATTTAGATTAGCCGTCGTTGAATCGATCAGGGTCTTCGGATGGGAACAAGGGGAAATGTCGGAATTTCACGACGGATTCTCAGGGCCTCGTCCGATTCCAGGTTCCTCCGCAGGTCCACGACGTGCACTCCATCAGTTTCGAGGTGTATATCATGTTCATTTTCCTTCTTCAGTCACGTTCCATCTTGCAGTTCCGTAAAACAAATTTTCACCACGAAAATGTTTGTTTGACTAGAAGTTGAATGATTAATAGGAAAATATGCATGTCAGGGTTAGAGCCGTTAGTAATAAGCATAATGATAACTTCTTTAATGATCTTACATAATTTGCTTATGTTTGTGAAAGAAAAAAAGATCGTGACCTTTATTCGTCTCAAATTTATAGGCTTTCCATAATTACTGATCTTGTTTTACGGCATGGAATAGTAAATACGAGGAGGGTTCAAAAAGTTCCGCAACTCAACACGAAAATTTCAAATGACTTTATTATTTAAAACAATTTCATATATAATTCTTCAAAGTTCTCTCCCCCCCGCCCCCCCCAGCATCTATACATCGCTGCAACCTTACCAGCCAATTCTGGAGGGCTCCATGGTACTCAAATGCAGGGGTTGATTTTAGGGCTGAATTCACTGATTGAGCAAGGTCCTATGCAAATCATCATGCTGTTTGTAAACAAGAACGTTAACAATTGAAACACCACCACCATTGGAAAGAATAGGCTTTGTTGTGTAGATAAGGCCCTAGAAGAACCTCTGGTTTTCATTCAAAAGTAAACAAATATAGTACTCGGGTCAATATATAATTGTTTTAATTAATAAAGTCACTTGAAATTTACAAGTTAAGTTGCATACATTTTTGAACCCCCTTCGTAAGAACGCATTCCTTATGTGAAGGAATGCTCATGAGCCTGCATTCCCCTAGGTTTCAGCACCCGGGAGGCAGAAGAACTACCCCAAAAACCACGACGAAGTGAAGTACCCGTGGCAGAAGCAAATCGATTCGTACAACGCGTACAGGTCGGTGAACGGCTGGTTCTCCCCCTCGGGAAGCTACATCCAGATACTCCGCAGTTCAACGAAGGGGGAGGTGGAGACGGTGGAGGGTTGCGAGGGTCTCCTCAAACTGCAGCTCCTCTACTCAAACTCGACGCCCGACGTCCTCCATTATCAGGTGAAACTTCGGATTCTGCTTTCGGCTTTCGTGTTGAGAAGCGAAAAGTGCATCTTGTTCCAACATGTTCAATTCAATGGTGACCATGGTAAGGGTGTAAGCTGAGCGCGTCTGATTTTTATTCATCCTCTTCCTAGAATTTTTTATCGCTTAGTAATCGAATCCATGTTTCTTTGAGCTTCGTGGGTGTGCAACGTGTGTGCAGGTAATGGCCCGAGGGGACATCCTTGCCTCCGCCGCCTTTGATCACGGCTCAGAAGGGGAAGTGGAGGAACTTGGAGACCCAGAGCTCCTCCTCTATAAATCCGATAAGGAGACGCCAGATCCTGGGCTCTTGAGCAAGGCCACCGTCGAGATCCCGGTGACTCCCGAGATGGCACCCGAGAGTAAACTGGTGGTCTTTTACATTAGATCCGACGGAGAGGTGGTGTCCGATCACCTCACCTTCAGAGTGAACCGATGTCTCCCCAACAAGGTTTTCCTATCTTCACGAGTTCTTGTAAATTCCCCCAAAAACATCAGGCTAATGTGTCTCATCTCATCGTTTCGCTTGGCAGGTGGAACTGGAATGGAGTGAAAAGGAAGTGGGGCCTGGATCTAAGGTAGGGCTGAAGGTGAAGGCCGAGCCGGAGTCAGTTTGTGGGTTGAGAGTGGTGGACAAGAGCGTGGACCTCCTCAAACCGGGGGATCAGCTGAATTTGGACAAAGTGTTTCAGGCTTTGGAGCGCTTCCAGATTTATGACTATGAGTCACCTACCCAGAGCACGGACTACAACTTCTGTCTCAGTCATCAGCCCTCAAAAAATATCTCTCGTATGCTTGTTCCCTGCTCATCAACCGTGAGGAAGCTTATTTGGCAGGACGTCTGTCAGCCGTGCTAACTTTTTAGGGATTAAGTCATGTGCATTATGCTGAGAGGATGGTAAGAACATGCACTAGTGCGCCTTGAATAGTAAAGTATTCATGACCAGTGGTATATCACATAGTACCAACAGGAAGGACCTATTTAAATAGCGAAAACAGAAATCTATTGTGTATTGAAAAAAAAGGAAAGAAAAAGTACCACTTCTCCTGAGAAGAAAGGAGGTCGGTTATCAGTACGCCTCTGCTCTGAATTGCAGAATGTGAAATCTATTGATATACTTAGCACTTAGTTTCTCTTCAGCATAACTTTTCGTTTTGATTTGCATGCATCGACGTTCCAAAACTGCAAATCATTTTCACAGGTAGTTCTCACATTTCACAAGGACGATCAGCAGTTTACGCGGGAAATCAATCTGAGGGTGGAAGTGTGAGAAAAGTGGTATGGATATGTGATGAACACCATAATCAAGTGAACGAGTCTTCAAGTGAGATGAATTTAAAATATCAGATTTGCTCATAGCGGGAGAATTTAATCAAAAACGCCCGAGCGGGAAGAGAGAGGGAAGAGAATCACAGGGACAGCAAAACATCCAGCACATTCTAGCATGGTTGACACACACGTTCTAACGTGTGAATATGAAAAAAAAACTTGAGTGGTAATGAAATTAATCACGAGACAAAAGCGTGTAAGGAACATACATTGCCTGTTTCTCTCATTTAGCACTCGAACAAGCCGTGAGTTCCTGAAAAGCGCCATATTCATATATTTTTTACATAATGAATCATTGCATTTTTTGGATGTTCCGCTCGGCAGGAAAGTTGGAAAATCCCACTTTTTTCGTGTTGTCATTCGTGCTAGGTGCACTGATACATACATTTACCGCTGCAGGAGGGTTCTTGTATGTAGTGACGTCGTTTCGAGCTCCTTTCATTACTTTGTGTAACATACGGAATATGGAGATACAATAACATTCCGGTGCCTTACCCTGAGCCAACTCTCTTTGGCTATGTAAATATCCTTTGGAATTATGATTCGCATGCCGTATAGGGAAATGAAAAATTACAAGCCTTAGAACTTCAGCATGCGAAAGCAAATTTGCTTAAATTGTCCGTTTTGTGTTATTTTGCCATGCAGAAGGCGATTCAGAGACCTTCGGTGGCTACGACTCCCGCAGTCATGCTCTCACATCCTTTGATGTGAGTCAATGTCACAAATATAAATCACAATAATGTAACAATGCTGAAATTGGCGGAATATTTTTCCCTTCGTAGCGTTCGGGTCTAGTGGTGCTGTCCGACCTGAGCGTCTATACCCTTCCCTGCCGAGTGCCTGTGTTCCATCACACTCAGGCATTTCGCCCTGTAAACGCACCAGGACTTTTAACGACTACAGTATCACTCTCGCAACCCGATGCTTTGGCCGACCAAAAGGAGACAATTGTTGGAGCTCCGATCGAACCGACTAACGACGATTTTCTTCCCGTTGAGGTTCGCGACTATTTGCCAGAGACTTGGCTTTGGTCTCTGGAGAACGTCGGGGAAAAAGGTCGGTGGTTCAGAGAGGGAAACGTTAATAACAGCAGGTTTCCGTCACTCTACCTCCGTCTTCTTGCGTACAGGGGAGTTGAAATTAGAGGATCTGGAAGTGCCGGACACCATCACGGAGTGGGTGGGGTCAGCGGTGTGCAGCTCCCCACAGGCAGGACTGGGCTTGTCCTCCCCTCAATCCCTCATTGCCTCCCAGCCCTTCTTCCTCGACCTCACTCTACCCTATTCGATCAAGAGGGGGGAGATCCTTCCCCTCCCTATCTCCATATTTAACTACAAGGCACATCCGTTGCCTGTAAGCTTATCTCCAATGTCTCTCCAGATTAAAAAAAAAACATGGTCAAGCATTCATTGCTTTTTTTAATATTGCTTTTTCAACAGATTCGAGTTGAGCTGGAAGAATCAGAGTCTTTTAAGGTAGATGGAGACAAAATGAAGAGCCTTTGCTTAGCAGAGCAGGGAAATGAGGTGGTGACGTTCGACCTAGACTTCCTGGAACTCGGAGAAGTGAACATCACTGTTGTGGTTCGGGTCGACCCTACCTTCCCCGATGTCTGCGGGTCAGACGTATTTCCTGTTTTGTATCTTTCTACTTACTTCTGGGATTCAAGTGGAATTTCTGAATATGTGTGTCCGTGAATGTGGAGGACGCCACTTTAGACCAAATGTAATTCAGTAATTGACCAGTAACGTAGAAATGTTCGAATTCATTCCAGCTGTCGGTGCAGACGATGCGTATCAACATGCTTCTCGTTTCTTGGTTCATGATTCCTCATTTCTTACTAAAATGGAACAATTTTAGCAGCGTCTTGACAGCAATAGCTAAAATAGCGGAGTGACCCAACATCCGAAGATGAGAAGCTGGAAGATGCTGAGTGACGAATACCGCGACGCACATTTTCAGAGACTGCATTTATATCAGGAGTGTTTACACATGCTGGGTTCAAGGGGGATATTGGAGATCCGCACAGGAGTCGGGTTTTCCTTTTTGCAAGAAAATGTAGACATTAGCAAGGAATGAGGATGCACGTCACAACCTGGAATGGACATAGCTATAAAGGTACTCGCAGAAAGTAGTGAGCGATGAAAGTCACGAGCCAGACCTACCAGACCTTGACGAAAAAAGCCTCAAGGCAACATTCGTTACGGTTAGGGAATTAACTTCCTCGCAACTGCATCAGGTATTCTTTCCAAATCCTGGCTGCCCAAAACCATTCATCCGGGAGGAGAGAATGAAACACCGAGGTAGCATCATACTAAAAAAAAAGAGAAAGTGATTTAATTACCTTGTTTGTTAGTATCGTGGCCAGACATATCTGAAAATTCTTCTCCTGTAACTAGGAATATGAACGGTACTCATTCGAATAATGAATTTGTTTCACTTCCAGTCTCTCGTCCACTGCGGAGTGCACCCCGTTAATAAGTGACGGTATCGTGAAGCCGATACGAGTAGAACCTGAAGGGTTCCCGGTGGAAGAGACGAAGAACTGGTATCTGTGCAGTAAGTCTTTCGTATTCGATGCACATCGAAACGTGCACATGAAGCCTTGAAACCTTTGGTTTATATCTAGTCAGGCATGAAACTTTTTTGTCCACTGCAGAAATCGAATTTTTCGTTCTAAGCGACCGAGACTTTTTCTGAAGGGCTATGACATTTGGCGAGCTTATTGACGCTGACCGTATCACGCGGTCATTCATAACCTACTTGTGACATTCTCATTCCACGGCATTTCCAGAGGGAGATGAAGAGGTGAATGTGCTTCACTCGCTGATCCTGCCGGAGGACGTTGTGCCGGATTCTGCTCGAGCGTGGGTCACCGCCTCTGGCGACCTCCTCGGACCCTCGCTTCAGGTATTTCGACTCTATAGGCTATATCAGTATTTCCTTTCTCTTGATTGTGTGTTGTCGTTATATTCAACAGTATTTCTAAATTAGTGGCCTCCACCGTTATGCTTAGTTTTCACTGAGTTGAAAATTGAGAAACCATAGATTTCACATGGTGGAAATCACTTCATCACCCTTATTATATCCACACACTGTATGAAGTTTCCATTCAATGCTACGAGCAATCGTATAATGAAAACATGGTTTATAGATGCCCAGCGAGTAGTGTGATCAAAAGAGCGATTCAGATTTTGATGGTCTACTCCCCTTCTTCCACAATTTATTCACATCGATTTAGAATGATGAAACATTTGCTTTCTCCACAAATTTCCTGGAATTAAATTGCCACTGGTTGCGATGAAAACACGAGTGTCATGTTCCACTTTGCCTTATATTCCTGCACCATAAATCCACACCGTTGTCTAATGAAATTGTTGCCACTTTTTACTGAACGTAATATCTACCTAGTGGAGAGTATTACCCAAGGCGCATATTATATAGCTTTTTCTATATTGAATCTTAAAAGACAATAGATTACTGCTCAATTCAAGATTTATACTTTTAGTCACGGTGGTTTCCCATCGGAGCTCTTCAAGTTTCCTAGCCGTAACCTGCTTCTATCTCGGAATATGCTGATGCTGCAGGGAATAAAGTCGCTTGTGAGGTTGCCGACGGGCTGCGGGGAACAGAACATGGTCGCTCTGGCTCCGAATATCTTCCTCCTCCAATATTTCAACGCCACGGATCAACTCAAGCCAGAACTGAAGGCGGAGCTCACCCACAATATGGAGATCGGTCTGTGAAATTGGAATGAACAATGCGTTGCTCTCGATGGACTTGATACATTTTGGTCTGATTAAAGGGTTGATATCTAAATGGGTATTGCTGTCTTCGATAAATGCATTAAATGCAATCATTCCCAGATAAAATCGAGACAAACCATTCGGTGTATGTCATCTGCTACTTTTTTGCCCCTATTCCTTTTCTTCGTGAATAATATTCTGACGATTCCCTTTTCTCAGGATACCAGAGGGAGTTGAAATACAAGCATGACGACGGGTCCTTCAGCGCATTCGGGAAGAACGACAAGGAAGGTTCTATGTGGCTGACGGCCTTCGTGATCAAAGGCTTCGGGCAGTCTCTTCCCTTCATCTCCATCGATCAAAGCCAATGGCAGGAAAGCGTCAAGTGGATCACCTCCAGGCAGCTGGAGAACGGGTGCTTCCCCAACGTCGGGAGGGTCTTCACGTCTCGCTATCAGGTTTAGTCACGTTCTTTTCGTGTATATTTCTTGGAGAGCCGCAGGACAGGAAAAACCTGAAGTGGAAAGTTCTCACTTGCCACATTCCTAAATATTCCAGGCGATCAGCACAAAACATAGCATCCCGAGGACGAAATAGGAAAAAATGAGGATTACTAACATCATCGCTGCAAGTGATAGAGCTAAATAAATGGAAGCAAGGCTTCAATCTTCATCATTTAATTGCAACTGCATTAATTTTGCCGATTGACTCAATATTCACGCGTGCTTTTCAACCTGACTATTTCAAATAAACGATTTTGCCGTATTAGAGTTGTTTATACTTCGCACTTTAATTTTCCCTGCGGACTGATGGAAAAGTTGGGCAGTGAACCATATCATCCTCGTGGCGTTTCAACATTGAGCAAGAAAGACATGCTACCGCATTAAAACGATTGACTTAACGAATGGGGGCCATATACTCGATGGGCTAAAAGGGAAATTGGTCTATCTGTAAAAAAAAATAATTATAGATGGTTTGGTGCTCATAGTACCTTATTCATTTCATTGAAAGTAATATGTAAATCTTTTAAGTAATTCCAAAAAAAAACCTATTTATCGATACATACCACTTTCCCCCAATTTTAATGCGGAAGTTACTGGAATATTTACTTCTTTTGTGAGGAAGCTCAATGAAATAATCCACTGCTGATAGACCTCTTCGTCTTTCAGACATTCAATTTCTGGTCAACTGCAAATGCTAATTCGAGACTGTGATTCTTTAAGGGAGGACTGGACGATACCGAAGGTGAAGAAGGCTCAGAGACAGGGTTGTCTGCTTACGTCCTCATCTCTCTTCTGGAATCGGGTGCCGCCGTGGATGATGAAGTGATCCAGAGTGCCCTGCAATGCCTGAGGGGTAACCAGAATCCCTCGACCTACACCCTGGCCCTCACCACGTATGCCTTTATCTTGGCGGGGGAAACCGAACTCGGTGGGATATATATGGACATGCTTCTCAAAAAGGCCACCGAGAACGATGGTTTTCTTTTTTGGCTCGCCTCTCCTGGTGGTAAGAAAGTCGTACTTTGCAACTTCCAGTTATTGAATCATGAAGTATTTGCTGTTTCAGGGGTGAGTCTAGACATAAAAAAACAGTTATTCTCGTTCTTTCCAATTGCATTTGCTTCACTGCATATGTATATAGAGCCGTCAGACGCAGTGGACATAGAGATCACATCGTACGGAATCCTCTCACTGGTGAAGTTGGATCGAGAAGGCGATTCCACCAGAGCCCTTTCAGCGGTCCGTTGGGTTGCCTCCAAGAGGAATTCAAATGGGGGTTTCACTTCCACTCAGGTCTTCCCAGTCTCCATTTTCCCTCCACTCGGAAGGACAGCCATTTCTCAACGCCTGGTATTGCGTGTTTCAGGATACGGTGATGGCTTTGCAGGCCTTGGCGCGATACGCGACTCACGTGGGACTGGGAGACGTGGACATGAACATCCAACTCTCCTCCCGTGACTGGGAGCACACCTTCCATCTCACAGATGAGAATCGTCTTGTCCAACAGATGACCCCCGTCCCCTCTGTTCCCTCTGAATTCCAGATCTCTTCGTCAGGGAGCGGTTGTGCCCTCGTCCAAGTTTGTTCCATTCTTTACTCTAATATTCGAACCATCGCACAGTGAGTCAAAACAGGGCCAAATCTGGTTAATAGTTTAAAAATCAATTGGAAGTTTTTACATGAAGCTGACTTACTTCTGTAGAGAAATGTATAAAGATACAGAAACGTAGATTTTAGTTTTCCTACCCATCCCATATCCTCGCCATTACAGATTGATTCTCTGGTAAAATCCGGTTTTAATTTTCGATTTAAATATTCGTAAATGTACCTTTAAAAATAGAGCTTTTTTTTAGCTCAATCCAACCGGGTATTACCCTCAAGTGTTCTTCTTCCCTAAGATATCTGAGTTTGGGCCAGAGAAATGGGTCATTTTCTCTCTGTGCATCAAAGGCGCTTCAGTGGTTCTCATGAAGTCCTTCGTAGGCAACGCTGAGGTACTCGGTGTTTGGTGAACCCAAGAAGCGGGGAATGGGACTTATCGTAGCAGATACATCTGATGATGCACTGAAATGCGATAAACGGGTGATCCAAGCCTGTGTCATGTATTCCGGACCAGCCAACACTTCCAACATGGCTCTTCTCCAAGTCTCCATGGTATCAGGTGAGTGTAATGATTCTTTCCCGAGGTGTCTGTTTTTCAATAGCAAAGAAAAAAAAAAGTAATTTGACTTCCCAGTCTAAAAAATTTATCTTGAAATGTTCTTCGCATTGTAATGCAAAGGACAAATACACCAATTGGAGAGGAACATGGTTTTAATTATTGGTAGAAGGAGTGTTTTCATTTCCAGGGATGTCCCGAATGAAGTTTCCAAAAAAAAAGTCTGGCGATTTTTGACCTACTTCTAACTATGTAGGTATAACTGTGTCTGTCAAAATGGGAGTAAGTACAATAATTTAATTTCTTGCCTACATGAATATTTCTCTTTGGAGAAGTGAATGAGAGAATGATCGGAGAAGTATATCACAGTTACTTTTTTCGAATGGAACAGGCTTCAAGCCAGAAGAAAACGCCCTTCAGGACCTTATCTCTCAGTCCCGAGGTATGTCATCCATACTCGATTGAAAATTCTGAAGACGAAATAAGTGAGGGAAAGAGCATGACTCTGTTTCAGGAATGATGAAGCGCTTGGAGGTGAATAAGGAGACTGGGGAGCTGGCCGTATATTTCGACCACTTGGACAAGGAGGGTTTTTGCCTTGATATCCCGATCGTTCGTAGTGTTACTGTGAAGAATTCCAAGCCGGCCCTCGTCAAGCTTTTGGACTATTATGCTCCCGAGATCCAAGACACCGAGGTGGGTCATGTTGGGTTGTTTTGGCTTCCACTTGAATTCATCGAATAGTCTATGACTATGACTTAAATTAGTCCGTATGCCGAAAACAACTTCCTATTTTCCCAGTTGTTCCACTCGTCATTCTCTTCGCTGAAGATTCTTACCTTCTGGACGATGAGAATTCCCGCACGTATCGTAGTTGTGCAGAACAGCAGTACTTTGCATAGAATAACGTCTAATCATGCAGTGGGATACCTTCCCATATCAGGAGACCCTGGCCTTTCTTAATTTACTGCAGGCTTTGCCTTCATTGCCAGGTATATTTTCATGAAAAATATTATTTTTAAATTTCCAATAAGCAATTTGGGACCATCAGCTACTATCTAAATAGTGTTATTTCATGAAACTTCGGTCGCAACACGTTCATTCTAAACTCTCATTCAGAAAACTAAGCCCTATGCAGTAAAATTAATGGGGAAATCAGAATAGAACACGGATTCACAGAGAAAATCATAAGGTCGAATTAAATTAAATTAGGTTCAATTAGTCAATCAAATTGAATCCGCATCTTTTTGTTAAATGTAACACTTGAGTGCCTGAAGCTCACGTCGTGTATGCAATGGAAGCAATGCTGAATACATCTAAGCTCCATGCCGTAATTTCTAGATTTGACATGCCATTTGTTGAACATTTTTTGGTGCTGTTTCCTCGCCATCCGAAATGTTCCCTGTTCATCTCAGATCCCCCATTGTTTGCAGTTATACGAGATCAGCGAGTGCATCGGGGACGGAAAAGTCTCCAATTTCGAAGAAGTCGAGGGTGTGCTCCCCAAAGTGGACATCCGATCACATTAACTGATTTAACTGGAATGTATTCCTGATCTTTCATCCTTCTTTGAAAATGAATGCATCGCAAATTGCTGTCTCTCTCCTATTGATTGGATCACATAAGTGACATTTAATAAAGTTATTGATATGGTAGCTATGATATAAAGAAGATCGATTAAAACGTAGTGCCTGATGACGTGTTGAAGAATAAGAAAACAACTAAACCTGCTTCATTTTGGAATGAATTTCCTTCTTCCTTATTTTTGCTGGTGCAAATGAGATACCTAACGAGGTTCTTCTCATTAGTTGATGTAATCCCGATACCTGTCCTTAAGGACCTGTCCAAAACCTGTTTAAAAAGTTATATATTCAACGGTTTGGTGCTAGAGTGGATTGATAGTAGAAACATTCGACAACAAACTATTTTCTGTTATTCAATCATTTCTCTCACAGATGTTACCCATTATGTTGAACCTTCTTCAGGTAAGCGATCGGTGTATCACGTTACACTTCGAGATTTGCACTCTGGAAACTTTGCATTGAGTCACCTTGGAAGTTGAACCATTCTCATCCCCTCCTCTGTATCTTTTCTGGAGACTCCTAGAACTGGGTTGCCTCCTTGGATAAAATTATTAAAGAATACAAATGTTTCCCCCTAGTGGTGTGGGGAGGATTGAAAAAGATCAGGCACCATGTGTATTGGGGATTAATTCCAGGTACATTAAGAACTCACTCGCTGGTGCAGATACTTTGGCGTCATCTGCCTTTGGTTGTAGGAAACTTTGTCAGTTCAAGCCACTGCGAGATGCTATGGGTCTATGGATTAATAGATTTATCTGTGATTTTTCTGTGGGTTTCTCGATGCCCATATATTACGAAAACCCTTAGAACACTTCCAGTTTGGCGGAAAGTCCACGCAATTTCTCGAAAGGCCTTTCATGGCACCGCTAAAATCATTCATATCGATTCGCACGGAGGCCACGTTGAACAATGTGTGAAAAAGTGCCTTCTGAAAGACATTGTTTCTGCATAACGTCTACGCAACTTCTTGTGTTGTCCCGTCCAGCCCCCCCTCATGAATTTCGCGTATCTGCTCAGATAGTTCTCATTATCATCATTTGGCCAACGACGTTATTTAATCGTCAAAGTATTTGGCCCCTTCTTGGTTGCTAAAAATGGCCTGAGGTCGACGTGTAACCAGAGGATGCCTAGTAGATTTTGAGGATAGTTAAGTCATTAGTCCCGTTCCATTGTCTAGACAATATGGAAGTGGTTTGAAGGTTTGTGGTTTTTACTAGAACATCGTAACACGGTTATAAGGCTCCAAATTGTTGAATTTGAAATTGAATTGTGAAAGTCACTTATGGATAATATTGGCTATGGTTGCGCCTTCGGCGCTCCCTTACCTTGGAGTGTGAGTAATTCATTCATTTTTTGCGAAATGGGAAACACGTATTTAAAGCACGTCCCCATTGAAATGCGTGACATATGGGGTCGAATGTCTTGATTTTTTTTCATAACATACCAAGTTTCATCTTTCCACTCCGCTTAATACGCCAGAACAAAAAAGGACTTGAAAACGTCGGCTCACAAAAATATGCCACCAGGGCATGAATCTAAAATTTTACATTTTTCCTGAACACATCGTCTCATTAGGCACGTCCATGCCTAGTTTCAGCTTTCCATGTCTCTCCGTTCTACTCAAGCAAAAATGATGTTATGGAGGGGGATTGAGTAACAGGACATGGCAAAAAAACAAAAGAGAGCCAAAGTATGGCCAGGAATTGAACCTTGACCTTCTGACTGCCAGTCAGATATGCTACGACTACACCATAGAACCCAGTACATCCAGTTACCTCTCTGAATGCCATGCTCATCTGTCACAAAAAATATTCATGAAAAACGTTTCCCCCCAAAATTTGTACCCCCAGGGTATGTACCTCCAAAGTCGGATTTTTTCTGAACTCTGCATCCCAAAAGGTACATATGTACCAATTTTCAGATTTCTAACCCTTCTAGAACATGGTTAGAATTAGNCATAAAGGCAATCAATCTAGGCCGTCAGTCAGTCAGTCAGTCAGTCACGATCGTCTATATATATTAGATTTATTTCCTGGGCTCCATGAATCAGTCTGGCATATGGAGATCATGAATGAAGAAATGACGGCCTAGATTGATTGCCTTTATGTGACATGAAAAAAATATAATGAGGTACTCAGTACTGTTGTGTATGACGAATCTTGAGAATGAAGGAAGGGTACTTTTGGGTACTGCTTGAAAATTGAGAATTGATATTAGCTGATATAAATTGCAAGCTAACCAGAAGCCTTAATCGACCTAGTGTCTTCTGAAAAATGTTGCCCTGATAAGCTAAAACCGACTTGGAGCTTTCATTGGGCTTGCATCTTTTGCAAAAGCTGCACCTACGGTATAAGCGCATGCCGACCTGCCCCTGTAACACCGGATACTGGCTGAATGCTGGACAGACATTGGGTACGTTGGCTAAGTCTTGGGCAATATTGGCAATTTTGGCTAAACAATTGGCTCCCCTAATATTGTCATTCCATCATCGATCGAGTATTGGACCGACGTGATGATCCAATGTGCCCGACCGCACTTGAAAGTTTTTGGGAAATGATGACGTTCTCCTTCATGATGGAGGTATAGGGGTCTCGCTTTTTCGCACAGTACACAGAAGTACCCTTCCCTCTTTCCCTGGAATCGTCTGTCACTGGAGTATTTAGTATCCTTCCATGTTTCGCCGAGTCTCATTTTGTAATACCCCTCGAGAGGGTATTAGAAAATGGTCACAGCGGGCCCAACTCTTCGTTCCTTCTTGAGGAAAAAACGAGGAAACGAGCGACTGAATTCGCAAATTCTCCGTGGAACAGTATGAGGTGGATCGTTCTCTGATATGTACTGCAACTAGTAAATTCAAGGGAAAATCATTCTCTGTTCCATTCTGCGTCTCCTGCCTATCCACGGGACAGACATTTGCATGGACTGGTAAAAGTCACACTAGTACTGGAAACACAAATGCCTTAACCATGGGAATACCTCCGTTGTATAAAGAAATTGAAGAAAATATTAACGCCAATATTGGCCCAAGAAGGGGCTTGGTATTAATCCCAATAATGGTCCAAGATGGGTGGTAATGTTGAGCCAATATGTACACTGCTTTTCAATATAAAAGGAACAAATACATTTTTCCGAGTTCCGCAGCACCCCCGTCATGAAAATGGTCGAAACAAACAGGAGTATGTAAATTAACGATGCTACGTTGCCATAGCACATGGAACGCGGTGGACATCGCACGTTGATTTGCAAATCACATGTATTGAAGAGACTGCGCTCTGGGAGGGGGTAGTGCAGTTAAGTTTGGATGGCAAGCAGCTAATTTCAAGATATCCGAACCCTGAAAGTAGTCGAAAGGAACCGTCTAACAGAGCCATTGAGATGGCGCTCCATTGCGCCTTCCGGATCGCAATCGTTTGCGGCGATCGTTCGGCCGGCATGCAACAAAATATATATTGCTGGTCTATCCACAACATTCGCATGGTGTTCGTCATATCACGGATTTTCAATGTGTTCTTTAAGTTTTGGAAACCAGTGCATACTCCTTGGCAGCCGATATTGAGCCAATGCAGGTTTGCTACTGGGGTGGAGCCTTTTTAGGCCTGTGTTTTTTGCAAATGTTACGCCATTATTGGGAAACCAGCCCACAACCATGAATAGGCCTACGTCCTTCACCAATGAAGTACCGAAAATGTTTACCCAAGTTAGGGCCATAAATGGGCCAAGCATTCCTGCCAATGCTGATAATCTGCCAACATTGCCATGAAGGGGCCATTGTTGGGCAAAGCTTTTTGGTAATGTGGGAACCTCCCTGTCGGAAGACATTACGCTGCATTTGCAAGGGGTTCTTATTGGGAATATGACCTGTTTATGGCCTTCACTCCATGAATCTGTCTCGAATATGGGGAAAATAAATGAGGAAATGGTCGCTTGGACTGATACTTTTCATGAGGTATCAGTGAAAGCTACCAAAGGTACATTGCTTTGCCAATATTGCCGAAATTGGCAAATAAATATTGCCACATTAGCCAAGGTGCTGCCAACATACCCAACGTTGAGAATGCTTTGGGCCGACACCTGATACTACTTTGGGGGTGGCCCAGAGTAGGAAAATCCATGATTTGTGCTCTTGTCTTTGGCCGATACTAAGCAACAGCACGGCAAGCC